CTATTGAGTCTTATGGGATGTGGATGTTCAACTCTGTAAGGCAACACTGAACTGTTTTCCTAACCAGTCACACCAATTTATACTCCCACTGGAAGTGTATACACTTCCTAATGATCCACTTCCTCGTTAACTCTTGGTAATAGCAGGCTAAGAAATTTTTGGCTAATCTGGTAGGTATAAAATAGTATCCCATTGTGGTATGCACCTGCATTTCTATGATCACCTGTGAGGACGCTCATCTTTCCTGCACGTACTTCCCACTTCGCTTTTGTGGGAAACATTTTTGTCTTACTGACTTTCAGGCTGCATGTATGTATGCATGTGTTGACTCATATATGCATATATACACACACACACACACACACACACACACATACACGAATCCTTGGGCAGCTATGTGTTTCAAGTGTTTTCTCCCAGTTTGTGGCTTTTCTATCTACTTTCTTTAGAGTGTCTTTTAACAAACAGATGTTCTTAAGTTTAATTTCATAGAACATTATCAATCTTTCCCTTTGTGGTTTTTTTTTGTGTTTAAGAGATTTTTCACTCCATCAAGACCATACAAGTTTGTTTCTTTTCACAACCGTGGTCACGTCTTTGCCACCCACCAGTGATCTGCAGCGCCTCCTCTCTCCATATCAGTTCCCCTACTTTATGGTTCTACGGTCCACTCCACTGGTCAATTCGTCTATCCCAAAGCCAGTAATATACCACCTTAATTTCTGTATCTTTAAAATAGGTCTTGGGCATAAGGCAAGGACCCTTATTTCCTTCTTCTTCAAGAATGTTCAGCTGTTTTATTTGGGGGCCTGTCTGTGCCAAGTTCCTCACAAAATTAATGCACTTAATTTCATTTGTGAGAATCATCTTTTTGATACTGAATCTTTCTACTCAATAAGACAATGTCTCCATTTAATTTTTTTAGCGTCTTACAGTAAAGTTTCATAATTTTTCCAAACAGCTTGCATATATTTCTAGATCCACTTTTGTTTCTACTGTCAACATTATCTTTCTTTGATTGATACCTTTTGTCTGTTGCTGGTAGGAAGAAAGGCATTAATTATTTTTTAATATGACTCTTCTATTCAGCTATCTTGCAACATTCATTATTTCTAATAATTTATTGATCCTTATAGATTTTCAATGGAGACAGTCACCACTTGAGAAAGACAGTGTTATATTTCTTCTTTTTCAGCCATCATTGTATTTCCACTCCCCGCCTTTTGCACACATGCCAGAATTTTCAGAACCATCTTGAACAGAGGTGGTGCGGGCCGCCTGTCTTTTTTCTGACTTTAGGAGACCAGCTGATTTTCTTTTCTATTCTATTACTGCTTTTTTGTCTGTGAGTACAGAGCCTGTTTGATTTGAAATCTCCATGGTGAACCAGGAGATGATGCCTAATGCGCATTTACTAAGAGAACAGAACAGGAAGAGGCGCGCTCGGCTCCTCCTGGCTTGCCTTGCGCTTGACCTGTGATAGAGCGGACATCTCTCTCATTCTTTTTCTCAGTCTATTGAGAAAAACCCATGATTTTACTTGGCTAATGTCACGAATTAAATTTAATATTTTCAAGTGGAAATCTTTCTCTCCCCCTTCAATCCCTGTGAAAATCCAACTTGGTCTTTGTAATAAACTTACTGATCTCATCTATGTTCACAGGTGTGGCTCCTCTCAATCCTTTCTTCCATTGTTTGTGTCATTTATGCATAAGGTCCTGCTGATCTGAAATAATGACTTTAGGAAGGAACTCTCACTCCACCGTTCTGTGGAAGAGGTAGTATACGGTTGCAATGATCTGTTCCTCACCAGCTAGGGAGAGAATCTGAAACGCAAGTCACTGAACAGTAAAAACTGGGCCTCAGGCTTTCTCTGTGAAAAAACGTTCAACTACTGATTCAGTTTCTTCGGTGCATTCTATATTCAGTGCATCCTGAGAACTGCAACACCATGTCTAGACATCTATACACACATCCTAATGCTCTAAAAGACTCTGTACGAAGATAATCATTGTTTTATTATAAACAATAAAACAGCAAAAAACCAAAACAACAACAAAAACCCTAAATGCTCATTAAGGAAGCAATAATTTAAAATTCTGGATAAGACTACTCTATGCGTTACTATGCAGCAATATATTAAAAAGTATTAATAAAAAAGTAAGTTAAAAGGTATGCAAATATAAACATTACACAGAATGATCCCATTGACATGAAAAACCAAAAAAGTTCCAAATCCATCAATACGTTTGTGTATGCAATATTTAAGAAATATAGATACTTTACGTCAAAGGCTTACACCAAATTCTTCTTTGTTTTCTAAGAACTACCTCCACATGCTGTGTCATCATAAACAGGAGGCATCTTTAATTATAAAATATTTTTCACAATTTTTCAAGTTAAGTATATTCCATGCAGCTTTACAACCAGCTATAGGCCATGAAAATCTAATTAGTATTTTAGTCAAAGCTTATACAGAAGACTGTGCAACTTTTGAAAGCTGACATTTAAGGTCCTCTTCAGCATGCTCAACAGACAATGTAATGTAATTGTGCTTACCGATTTCATTAATCACTGCTCTTATTTTGGAGACAAAAGGGCCAACTTCACTGGGATTCATTTTGACTCTTTCCTTAAGATCAGCACCTGCAAGGTATTTTATTTACAAATATAATCCAGTTATAAACAAAATTTTAAGGCAACGAATTGAAAATTTACTCAAGATTCATATATAACTTGAAAGATAAGACAGAATTTATCTACCAAAGGAATTCTGTTATCTAACTTTTCCATCCCAAAGACGCTGGTCAGCATCAGAAAGAATAAAATATTTGTTTGTTCATACATCTACCATGTGCTTAAAGCAATGGTTCTCCAGCTTTGTGGTCTCAGGTCCCCTTCATACTCTTAGAGGAAGGGGCTTTGTTCAGATTATGTAATATAAATCTACCAACAGTTATTCTATTATACAATGAAACAAAAATTTTTAAATATTTATTTATTCATTGAATAATACAAATAAACCCATTCGTGTTAACAAAAATCACTGCAGATTGATGCCACTTTCTTGGTTCCTGCAAACATGCTGGCACTTTACTCACCACTGCTTCTGCCCCATCAGTGCAAATGCCAACCCAGTGAAAAGGGTACCTCACTGCTGCGAAAACCATTGTGCCCTCGTGGATGCCCGCTTGGTGACCACCGATCTCATTTAACAATCACTCATTTGAAAATATATACAAACCGACAGTGTGGTAATTAGAAGTTCACCCCAGACTCATCACTTGGGAACAGATACAAATCAACACAAAGAATTCCTTAAGGGATTGTTTACTCTGTGGCTCAACAAAGACATTCTTTTTTATAAAATTAACTTCTCTGAGACAAGGTAGGTCCCTATTTAAATAAACAGACAAACAAAAGACAAAGTAGAATTACAGGACGGAAGGTATACGCTCAGCTCCTCACTCTCTTACTAGCCCACTAGAAACTGATCATGACAGGACATCATATCGAGTATCAGCCGAGGCGGGGACATTCTGAGCCCACACGCTTCCTGAGGGAGTGAGAACTACAGCTGATCAAACACATATCCCACAACCCGTCACTTCTTAGGTATACATACCCTAGGAAATCTCTCAAACACACGCCCAAGGAAGCGTGTACAATGACATTCAATGTAACATACATAAAAATAGCAAAACACTTGGAAATAACCTAGACACTCAACAAAAGGATTAATAACAAAACTGGAACATATTTTTGCAACAGAATGTTATATGTGCAACATGAAAACGAAGGAATTAAAGTATAAATATGGATAAATTTAACAATGTTGGAAGATATACAAGTATAGAAATAAATATAACGTATTTATAATTATATACAATTACAGAAAGACACACAAGATAATAACCATTTACGTAAGTGTTTAAAAGAAGAATGCTACTTAGGGATATAAAACATGCATGGAAGTAATAAACTCCAAATTCGATTGGTGGTGACCTCAGCGGAGGGGAGGGATGTGACTGGCAACAGACACAGAGAACTTCAATCTTTTTTGTAATACTGTGTTGCTCAAGTTAGGTGATGGATTCTCAATATGTTACTCTTTAAATGTTTTCGGATGTTTGGTATAATATCTTCATAACTAATTTTTTCTATGAAAAGAAAAAAATTTAGCAGAGAAAATTTTAGTAGGGCCAAAAAATTCTACATTAAATTAGTAGGATGTATTTGTTAATGAAGTAATGGTTCAACTCACTGTCATTTAACACTGAGAATATAACTGTAAGCTGAGAATATAAATGTTGCTTAGTGCATGTTAGCTAATAATACATATTAGTTAACAAAAGTAGCTAAAAGTAGTGTGATACGGGGGAAGGGAGTGGACGAAGGAGGAGCCAAAGCAGTGAAGAAGTGGAAGCTGATGGGACAGACGCCGACTCCGGATGAGGTGGTCCTGAGGGGCCCCTGTACTTGCATCATGGGATCCATCACGTCGTCTGGTCCCAGGACACCATGAGGGTGCGCTCTAACACACCAACCAGAGGTCTGATGGGGGCTTTTCCAACATTCTGACCCTGTGACCACACAGCATGCTTTGAAAAGCACACTCAGGTTAAAGAGACCAAGCTGCTGGAAGCCATAGCAGGAGCTAAAGAGAATCAAGGTTTGCTCGTAACATTCATGGCCCATTCGCTGCAAAGCAGTCCAGCAGAGAAGTCCTGGAATACAGCTTTATCCACACCACAGTGTGAGACAGAAAATGAGCACCATTAAAGTCAGGAAGGAAAATAACTGCGCACCAAGAATTCCAAACAAATCAAATCTATTCATCAAAAATGATGGTGAAACAAAGACACTTTCACACAGCCACTCAGCACACACACCCACCCAATCGGACGTCAGCAGGCCCACGCTAAAAGAAACACTACAGGGAAATCTTCACACAGGTTATGCAAGGAGAGTTGAAAATCTTACTTGATACCGTTTACAAGAGATACGTCTTAAAATACAAGAGCACAGAATGGCTAAAGAAAAAGAGTGAAACAACATGCAAGTATCAAGCGAAAGAAAACTTGCAAAGTCATCTTAATCTCTGACAAGGGAGAACGAGGGCAAGAAACATGACTCAAGACAGAGGGTCACTTTACAACAGCAAACATGACGATCCATTAAAAAAGTCGTAAGAATTATAAATAAAAACAAAAAGAACAGCTCTAAAATATAAGAAGCAAAAACTGACACATGGACAACCACAGTGGGTTTTAACAGACCTCTCACAGGCGCTGATAAAGCAAGCAGTCAAATACCCTTATCAAGTATCCCTAACTAGGAATAGAAAAAGGGAGGGAAAAAAACCCAAAACAGAAGAAAAAAAAGATAAAAAGTAGAGTAAAAAATAATTTTTTAAATAGAAAATACATGTGCAAGAGAGAAAGATCAAAGTAGTTGGCTCTTTGAGAAAAACTAAAATAAATAAAAGGCCTTTTAGCAAGACTCATAATGGAGGATCAAAGAAAGCACAAATTCCAATCAAGAATGAAAGGAGGCTGGTACTAAGGATTTTACAGACAATGAAACAATAAGGGAATATTATTAACAACTCTGGCCCAATTAATTTGAAAAACGACACACAAATTTCTAGGAAAACACAACTTACTAAAATTGGCAAAGAAACAGAAAATCTGAAAACATAAATACACACAATATCTTTTGATGATTCTTGATGGGTTCTGGAAGTTTTCATTTTAAAAAAGTCCAATTCATCAATTTTTCTCTTTTATTACTTGTGCTTTGGGTGTCCTCTCTAATCAATCTTTGCTATTAATTAAAAAGTCACAGCAAACTAGGAATAAAAGAATTTTTTTGATCTCATAAAGACCAATTATAAAATATCTATCACTAACATCACTTTTAATGGTCAATTATTTCCTCTAAGAGATCAAGAAATTCTACAGATGGGAACAGACATCCTAGTCAGTGGAATAAGAAAGATTTTTAATTACAAAGATCAGAAGAAAAAAAATAAAAACTGTGATTATTAGCAGATGACTTAATTATACATGAAAAATAGCCAAAAGAATTTACAAATCATGAAAATAAGTGAATTTAGTAAGGTTGCTAGATACAAGTTCAACATACAAAACCCGACTGTCTTTCTATATAGTCGTGTAAGAAATTTGTGCAATTTTAAACAGATAGCATTTATATTAACATTAAAAAGATCAAACAGCCAAGGAATAAATCTATTAAAAGATGTGTAAGATCTTGACACAAAAACCTACGAAATCTAAACTAAATCAGTCCTAAATAAACAGAGAACCACATCGTGTTTATGGAGCAGTACTGTGTGGAATGTTGGTAGACTCCATACTGAAAGACGTAAATTCTCTCCAAATTAATAGATTCGGTGTGGTTCCAATCAAAGCCCCAGTGCTTTTAGAAACTGACAAAATGAATATGCAAAAACCTACTAACAGTCAAGATACTCTTGAAGAGGAAAAGGCTGAAGAATGAAGAAAAAGTCGAAGCGTTTATGCTAAAAGAAGACACACTGTAAAGCTATAGTAGTCAAGAGAACTTCAGATGGGCTCAGAGATAAACAGAGCAATGGAACGAAACAGCAAGTCCAGAAAATACCTGCCTGATTTACGACAAAGATGGCGCTGCTGGAACATGCCAGTACCTGGGAACGGGGCCACTGGAGGTTCACATGGGACAAAACAGTTCTTGATCCTTCATATCACAAACACACACAAATCAATTAATGGTGAATCACTGCTTAAATGTCAAAGGTCCAACAATAACTTCTAAGTGAAAACATCCAAAGATATCTTCAAGACATTAGTACAAAGATTTTTTAAAGATTTCCCCAAATACTTCTAAAAGGAAAACACTAGATTTTCCTAAAATTAAAATCTTCTGTTCCTCAAAAGATGTCATTAGGCGAGGGAATACGGAAGTGAAAGAGCGGGAAAAGGTAACTGAAATACACGTGTCCTGTGCGTACAAAGGGCTGTAAGTCGGGAAGATAAAATAGCCAACTATGCAATACAAGGCAAGCGATACAGACAATTCACAAAAGAGGGCATCACACCGGCTAATGAAGAGAGGAAAAGGAACACGACATAATTAACCAACAAGCAAACATAAACTAAAAACACAGTTTTATAAGCAATACAGAGTTCAAGTGTTAGTGAAGGTACAGAGCAACCAAAACTCTGATTTAATGCTGCTGGGGGTAAAAATCACTTTGGAAAGCAGTCCCACCCCAAGTGCACACATGCATGACGTGCATCTAAATGCATGACGTGCAACTAAAAAAACATGCACAACACATATAAAATAGAGAAACAAGTTTCTACTGTACAGCACAGGGAAATACATTCAGTATCTTGTAGTAGCTCACGGTGAAAAAGAATATGAAAATGAGTATGTGTGTGTTCAGGTGTGACTGAAGCATCGTGCTGTACACCAGAAATTGACACAACACTGTAAACTGACTATAACTCGATAAAAAAAAAAATGCACTAGCACATTCATAGAAGTATTATTCAGAATAGCTGAAACCAGCAACACCTCAAATACCCACCAACAGTGTAACGAACTGTGAAATACTCCCAAATGTGATCGCGCCATTC